GTTAAATTAAAGCAATGAAAAATAACTTCATAACGCATTATCGAAAAATATCCAGATCATTGAATTAATATTCGGATTCAGCGACTGTCACTGGCAGTTTTATTTCTTAATGTTGAATTGATAAAAATTGCACCAATTGTAATGGTGTAATGCAGACGCAAGTTTGGATTGTAATAGAACGGTGTGAAAGTCCGTGTGGCACCGTTTAATGCAATAAATGCGGTCGACAAAGTTAGATAAATTTGTCGTGGTTTACATTGTATTGGATATGTTACATCAGCGATGGTCGAGGAAAGAAAGGTTTAAGAAATAAAAGAAAAATAAATAAAATAAAGGAAATACCCAATAGTCTGTCAATCAAAAAAAAAAAAATAATAATAATAATCCCACGATAAAAATTATAGTGGCAGGATTTATTTTGCAAAAAATGAAAATTTCTGTTGCACACTAATTTCTGGGTAGGAGTTAATTGAATGGGTAGGAATGCAGAATTAATTGTTAAATAATTGAGCGGATGGGGCGAAAAAAATTGCTGCGAAATTCAAGGACTTGAATAGAAATAAATAAATTCAGTTATCCAACATGTGTGTAACGGAGTTAAGGTCGACAATTACGTGAGACGATTTTTCATGGGTGTTGCACCTTTTTCGTCTTGTTATTCAGGTTTTGCCATTAAACCTCTCGAATGTCGTGCCTTCCGACGAATTCTTCTGATTCGGATGTTTTTTTTATCAGAAGTACGAGATTCTCTTCGAAATTGATTTGTCAGGGTTTTCACAGCGGCACGTGACTTGGAATTTTATTCCCGGATAAATGACCTAGATCTTATTTTATCATTATCACTTTTCACATTTACTTCTTTCGTATTCCAATGAATAATTAAGATGCAATGGAGAATGATAGTCGGGGTGTAATTATAAAACGATTGAATTGGTTGAAACGGCGATTTTTGGTTCACTTAGATGAAACTGACAGGAGAAAAATTTCAATCAATTAGGAACATTCTCTCGCGTTTTATCGGTTGAAAAAATGGACGACGATTCAATCAATAAGCTGTAATTAATTACGAGGAGTTAATGCAGGGGGAGGGAAAACCTCGGGAAAATGAACTCAATGGAAAAATCAATTGTTAAGTTATTTTTTAAAATTTTTCTTTCACTTTTATCAACCAGTGGGATTTTATTCATAGAAATTGTTCAATTTCCTTTTTATTTACATATTTCTTGGGGCAAATTTAGGTGAAGGAATATAAAAAGATGAGGTAATTAAATAATCTTTATCTCTGAAGATTCTTAAGGAATTGTTTAACAATTTAAAAGCTGTCTTTTATCCGTGACTTGTTCGAGCGGGATTACTGAATCATTTAATAATTCATTCTACCTCGGTCTACGTATCCCTCAATCTAGAATTATTCTGGTAATTCTTTAAAGCAATTAAATGTCATCCAGAAGCAAGTCTAATAATGTTACGAGATATGTCGCTATTTGGGGTTTAAAAGTCATGAATTTTAAATGGAATTGAAAAATTTTAAGCAACAGAAAGCCGAGGATAAAATTACTCTCAATTATTAAAGAAATCATAACATTTTTAAAAAGTGACATATTTTCTTCTCGGAAATTCTCTAATTAAAATACTATACGAATGCATCCAATTGTGGAGAGAATGTAATTATGATAATTATGATAATTTTCCGACTTTTGAGGTTTGCAGATTTTCGCGAAAGAGTGAGTGTATTTTTGGATTTTCTGTTGCACTGCTGTTGAATAATTCTCTGAAGAATTCATCTCACCCTCGCAATAAAAACCCCAGAGACTAACCGGATTGTTTAACGTCTCTCCACTCGTTTTGTTCTGCAATCCATAAACTTTACAGTCCCCCTGGGTTCGTCTTCGTGCTGGCTTCGTAATTATTGCTAAATTATTCTTGTGCCTCTCACGTTCAGAAATTCTGGATTGTGAGCGTGGGACAGACAGTCACACCAAAAGGTGTCAAAACAACAATACCCGAAGGAAAATTGCAATTTTTTTATCGTCCTAAATTGCCGCAATGATATCTATCTCAATCGTGATAATTGTCACATTGTCGCTGTTAAAAAAACATTCTCCAAATTCTCCGTAAAAATATTTTCAATTCTTAACTTTTATGAGAATTCCTCTGAATATTCAATGACAATTTAATTGACAGTGACAGTTATAATTCTCGTCGTTATTTTTCTCAGTTCTGTGGATATTGAAAATTTACTGAGTTAAATATCGAATTTTCATCTTGAGATTTGAAATTTTCTTATCAATTGTGATGCGAAAAATATCAAGGATTATCTGGTGTAATTGTCACTGTAAATTAAACAAATTTCCAACAGTTTTGTTATATTTTCCTCGCGGCGGAGGTTTAGAGAGGTGATTGGAATTCATAATACCACTTTTAAAAACCTACACAGTCAACAGCTCTGAGTCGGATATTGGCTGAATATAACTTTCGTTTTTGGGGAAAAACAAATTCAAATATTTGCACAAAGAGTGATTTACGAATCAAATTTTTCTCGAATACTCAACGGGAAACAGAATTCATTCAGATTATCTGACTCTTCAATCCAAATCTTTTTATTCACTTCACAATTTTAATAAATAGATAAAATATTTGGACGCCACTGAATAATATATAATTACTTGGCATTATCTATTGCAATAATTAATTCACCTGACTTGACATTAAAAAAATGGAAAAAGTCGGAGTAAAAAATGTGATTGAACCAAAGATTTAGTTTACTCTATCGGTTTTTAATCCTGAAAAAAAACGTGACTCCTCCACTTGTTTGTAATAATTCGATCGGGGTATACCTGAGAGTCTTGCAGGTAATGCGATGTTACAATAACATTTAATCTGATAATTATCATCGAATAATTCCCTTAATACTTTTATCCAATTTGTTGACAGTTTCTGAA